CCAAATATATTTGTTCGTTTAATCGATTATGTTTAAATGATCTATGAGCAACCCTAAAACTACCCTCAAAAAACAAATTTCATTCTCGTTTTAAACTTACTTAATTTTCTACTGTATTCACATATACATACTTGGCAATCCTCAACGGCGGGGGTTGTAACTTTTGGGGTGCGCCAAAAATTTTTGTTTCTTTGGTCGATTATGTTTAAATGATCTATAAGCAACCCCGAAACTACCCTCAAAAAACAAATTTCATTCTCGTTTTAAACTTATTTAATTTTCTACTGTATTCACATATACATACTTGGCAATCCTCGACTTTGGGGGTTGCAACTTTTGTGGTGCGCCAAATATATTTGTTTGTTTAATCGATTATGTTTAAATGATCTATGAGCAACCCTAAAACTACCCTCTAAAAATAAATTTCATTCTCGTTTTAAACTTACTTAATTTTCTACTGTATTCAATCCTCGACTTTGGGGGTTGTAACTTTTGTGGTGCGCCAAATATTTGTGTTTGTTTAATTGATTTTGTTTAAATGATCTATAAGTAACCCCGAAACTACCCTCTAAAAACAAATTTCATTCTCGTTTTAAACTTACTTAATTTTAAAAAACCAGTAAAAGTTTGAGAGAAGTCGAGTGGAAAAGGCAAGCAGTTGCTACAGTATAGTGAGCCGTTTGGTTAAGCTTTTCTCTTGCTTACAATTTTCTCCTTATTTTTGTTTGGATTAATTTTGGAGTCTCATAGTTCGTGGCCACGTTTTCCTCTTATCTACCCCCAATTTTTTATAATATGGAAGAAATCAAACCTACTCTTAAATTTCCCTATTAAAAGCTCCTATTTTAAATTAATAAATTCAGACCCATCTACATGACAGGCGCTTAAATAAATTCATTGCACATAAGTAGCGATCTTTCATAGACCTATACATATATTCAAATTGGTGTCGTTTAATAATCACGAAAAATTTGGGACTGGTGTCAAATTTCAAGTTTTTTCCAACGTCGGGGAAAGACGTAATTAATTAAAAACAGTTTTAATTTGCTTGAACGAATCGAAGATATAAGCGTACGAGATGGGAATTCCAGTTGTCCCTACCCGAAATGGCCGTTTAGATAAATAGGAAACGCACTATGAAATAGGATCGTTTACCTTTTCCATATTCGCAGCTACGTTTTGTAAGTACCGAAATTTAGAGCGATGCCGCACGCTTGGTGGCGCTCGAATCCGTCCGCTCGTCCGTTAATTTCTATAATTTGTGTGTTTATTTATTTTTCTTTTATATTAAATTGCAATTATTATTCTACAAATACTTATTTAATTTTAAAGCTCACTCACTTTTATACCCAAACGAAACCATAAACATTTCCAATGTTAAAAAAAAGGGTAGTAATGTCAGGAAGTATTAAACTACAGTTACTGAAAATAATTATTTGCCATTTGTATCCTAATAGAAGGGAATTAATATTAAACTATAAGTCTCTGCGAAAGACGTATACGCAAACAAAGAATGAAGACATACACAAACATTTTCTATACGAAAACTTTGTGTAATACCATATTCCCGGAGGTATTTTACCATACCCGGTATAATTATTCATGTTGTTTGTTTAACATTTCCGAATAACAGCCTGCAGAGCCGAGTTTAAGATTCAATCCCATGTAATATTCATAAACACGACATTCTAATTTATATTTATGCTTACACAGCTATAAAATATCACTAAGACGTAAATGCGAAGGTTCCGTTTGGGAGCTTGAGCTCTGCTGATTGAAGCTCCGCAGAAATATGCGTACTCGACCACTACTTTCCTCAAAGATATTTAAACTGCAAAATGAAAATTTAATGGAAAACATTAATTTTTTTTAAAATGAGGTAAGCAAGAATCTTCCCTATCTGAATAGACGTATATATCTCTCACGCATGACGTTAATTCGCTAGGTTGAAACAATGCCGAAAATTAGAGCGAGCCATCTTGTAGTGTAAAAATACGTGTTGTTAACGTAATTTCGGTCTAAATATCGGAAATAGCAGTCAGACACCTTGCATGTAGCGTAATTTGGACTGAAGTATAATCTTTAAAAGAATAACAAGGAAAATGCAGACTAATTACTTTATTACTAAAATGCACAGGTAATAAACCAATACTACGCACATTTTTAACGAAGTTGACGCAGCGGCGTTTCCTGGACATTAGCGTAATTAAAGTGGTTAGTATAAATAGACTGTAATAGACCTCAATAAATATTATCAAACTTGCGACAGCGTACCGGATTTGATTTATAAGATAATCACCTACCGCATTTACTTTGTGTAAGTTTTTCTTGGGTGTACCCTCATTGCTACACACGGACTGGTCTCGCTGCGTGCTTAACCACGAATCCTCTAATCCCCCCTCTCTCTTATTAATTAAAGAACGCCTAGCAAATGGCTTCTTATTAACACAGACGGCCATCTTTAATTCGTTTGCTTAGTTTCCGCGCCCTACGAATCAAAGAAGAACCAGGGCAATAAATCATTCCGAAATACGAGCAGATATGGTACGTTGCAGTTTCCACGATGCTGAAATAACCTCATGCCGAATTCGCAGTCATAATCAAATATTCGAACTTCTAACTTTACCAAAAATTTCAAAAAAAAAGAGAAAGGGAGTCACTTTATAAATGAGATGGACGGGAATTTATTAGTTATGGTTGAAATATTAATAATGTGTAAACCTTGATCAATTGTACACCCCATTTGCGGTGGAATCAGTTCAGCACGACTCCATCGTGACGGTCGGGCGCCCCACACCCCAACGTACTAAAAAATAAACAAATATTCCCAGTTCCTCCGTTGTGCGAAATCTCTTGGGGATTATAATTAAGTTAAACACCGCCGCCATCCCGATCTATTTACGGTCCCCGTTAATGGCGGGCATAAACCTCGAAGCAAATCGGGGATTAAATTAAGTTGCGCGTATTTATTCCCTGACCGAAATCCAAAGGTCGTTAATGTTGACAACAAACGGTGATGGTATACAGGATCAATATTATATGCGGCAAAATTGAAAATTGTCGTTTTTCCGTAGTAAAGGAGATCGGTTAATAGTGTAAACACTGCCATTAATTATGTCCGGATCCTAAAGATAGCAATCGCTTATTTTTGGAAATGCTAATGGAAACCCCCAGATCCGGGAGGTTCAATAGGAGGCCTTTACATTTTATTAAATTTTTCCTGTGCTAGAATTCCATTGTTACCTTACACTCACTTTCTCGCCGAGTAAACAAACTGAAAGTTCAAGTTTCTTTAGGACTATGCGATACGGATGTCTTTAACAAAGTTAACGCAGTAGACATATCTAAGTAAATATACCTTCCATAACCATAATAGTATACTATTACGGTACTATTCTGTAAAATTAACTTAGACTATTGCAAGCTTTCGCACTTGAATATAAAGTAGGTTACAATATGAACTTGTTTTCAGATGTCATAGTTGTTGCTGGATGACGAGAAAGACTGAAAATGATTTATTTACCTAAAAGATTATTTTAGTTGACTCAGTAATCCGAAATTCAACATAATTTAAGAAACGAAGTGTTAATAAAGATAAAGAAGAGCGGTATGCGAGATCGTTTTCAAGATAAGTATATTATATCTTGGAAAATGAGTAAGTGTCCGAATAGACCTTCAACATATGCCTATTTTGCTAAATAAATCCGTTTATTGTAAAAAGTCTCTCTGACTGACCTAGGAAGTGTTGAGACCTTCCAACTATTCCACCGGGACGAAAATACCCCCAGGCTTCGCAAATCCCCATTGATCTGAGAAACTGCACAAACAAAACCGAAGGCGAAAATATAATAATTCTACCGACAAGAGAGATAAAATTAAATTTTCGTGAGTGAGTATCTGTGGAGAAAAGCACTATAAACATATTGTGTAACGGCATAACTCCCTTAAATCAATACGTGTTGTTTACAAAGGAAATTTACCGTTCGACAAACCAAAAAAAAACCGTACACAGTGAACGTGGCAATGGAAAACGGAACAAGCATTAAAAAACCGTGTCGCCTGGGAGTAAGTTTCACTGCGATGTTCTTGCGCCAAAAGTTGTATAAAATAACCCAAAAATGTCATCGGGTTTACCAAGAAAAAGTAAGCGACTTATTTCTAATCTTATTCCTTATTTTCAAAGAAAAAAACATAATGGAGGTCCACTTTTACCAGTCGCAGCAGTAAGAGACGTGAGTGGTTCGTTTAACAAGAGTTCGTATAAGTAAAAAGTTTCATTTCACAAAGGGTTGCGAATGCATTAAATATTAGCCTGCGAATAGTGACTTCTATTTAACTAATTTTTAAATCGAACATCGGATTTTCTTTTGCCTTTAGTTCGTGTACTTATTTGGATTATTTCAGGGTTTTTGTCCCGAAGAAGGTTTCCCTGACATCGCATGGTTGTGTGCGTAATGTATTTTATACGTTCTCGTCTTTTCTTTGTATTCAATTTCCGTTCCCCTTTGGGTATAAAAAAAACCGCCAGTTTTAACACCGACTGCTACCCAGATTCGAAAATGCCGCGAAACGTCCGCCGTTTTTAGATGCTCTACTGCTCCTGAGTAAGTCAACATTGCAATCGCTTCTCGACTTCTGCTGCTAAATACTGCGGGCGTTGTTATTACGAACAACAAGTGAAATTGAGTACGTTCAGCAGAATCATCACTTATAAAGGAGGACTAGCATGTGCTATTGAATAACCATTAGTGTCAAATAATGCTAAATTGTTGTACCCCCTTGGTTGCTCATGTATGGAAAAGATTGGGATTTCTCTTTAATATTGGATACTTATACGTTTGCTACTCTCCGGTCAGGAACCTGACTTTATTTGTGATTTTTGCTACCCTTAATTATGTATACCTTTCGTTCTAACACCGTCTTGTTGAAAAAGAAACATATACCCCGACCTCACTTGGGGTTAATAATAATCTCAAACATGTGTACAAAACAATACTTACAGTTTGTCTACCATTATTGGTGTTGTTGGCCAACAACCCTCGACATTTGAGGGAGAAAAATCTTCTTCGTCACTTTTGTCTCCTTCTAAGGGCATTTCTACCTCGCAAAATTTTATACGGAGATCCCAATTTTATGAGAGCGAGCCGTATTCCCGCTTGTATTGCATGCACTCAACTAAATAACTCTCCTACTTGAATAATATTCAAACTAACCCCTTATCTCTTAACAGTTATGTACAAACTTGGTCCTTATCGCCGCTACATTAGAAAATATTTCATGTGTAACGGACGCTATCTTAAAATTAAATCGTAAACACTCTACAATAAACTATAAGTTAGTCATAATTGTGTTTTTACACTCAAAAGTTAAAAATTGGAACTACCCTAAAACCGATTTTGTAGTTATCTTCATCAGTAAAACTGTTTCCGCATTTATAAAATAAAAGTAACCCTTTTTAATGTAGTCGTTTCGGATATCTCTAATCAGAGGCGCCAGCGCTGAAATTGTGACTGTTATTGGGGGGTCCTTTATTGAATACCGAATAGAGTTTCTAAAAGAAAAATTAGAACAGCCTATTACTTTCCCACTTTTCAAAGAAATTGAAGTTGCCTTAGACCCGAATATACAGTATCTGAGGAGTTTATTAAACACGATTAAACAACCCTTAACTTGAGGTTAGTTAAACTGTACCCCAGAAATAATAGGCTCAAAATCTCTCCTGAATGATCTGCATCACTATAGCTTTCTATACAGGGTGTTCATTTGAAAACTTCCCACCACGGATTTATCGAAAACTACTGATTAAAGGAAAAAAAGCCGACACACGTCAAAAGATTTGTTAATGGGGACAACTTTTTAACCAAAAACTACTTCACCCCCTTTCACCCTCTGCCCCTCACGGATATTCCCTTAAAAGTTTTAAATGACAAGTGGTATCGAGTAATACCTCGTTTGAAAGGTCTTTTATTTTGACGTTTGATTTTTTAAGATCGGTCTATTCGCTTTTGAGAGTTTCTGGCTGTCTTTTATAACCGAAATCTGTGTACGTAGATCAAATGTTTTATCTTCTGATTTACCGTAATATAATTTCCTTCTGAAGAGTTTCTTTATAGTAGGAGATTTTCGGATTTACTCGAGCGCGTCAGAGTAAAGTAAGGTGGGTTGACTACGTGTTGAAAGGTGTGCATTACAATATTCTGACGATTTGAGCGTGACTTGAGGGAGGGAGAAGGTCACAAACTATTTGTAGGTATCTTAGTTCCTTACATTTTGCTACTTGAAAGATAAAATGTTCAAACATTTTTTCTTCCGTTTGGCTGTTGTCACCCTGACAACACATACAATGAAAATTCACTGAACACACTACAATTTAATGAAAATGTAATGAAAGGATTCTTGATGTCAACGTATTTTTCAAAGCGGTTTCTTGAGAGAATCATTTCCTAGGAAAATTTTTAGGCAAGTTGTATGTAACGATATTGCATATAAGAGTACATCTTCCCAGATTGCAAAGATATCCTAAGAAATGTCACCAAAAAGACAACTAATTAAGAAGAATTAAAAAGGACGTCTAGACGATTTAAAAGAAAGATTTAGAAACACGAAACCTTTTTCAAGATGGTGTTTAGTGATTACTCGAAACATTTTTTCCCAAGAGCAAATTTGATTTTATAGAAAGAAATTTATAGCACCCCCAGCTAGCAAAATTCCATCTTGGATTGGGAATGTTCTAATCTCCTTTACAAAATTGAAGAGTACATTTGCAAAGTGAGACTTAATTACCTAGCGGCAATTTTCTGTTGAAATTTAATATGAATGCTAAGACCTCTACTAAATTAAATTCTTGCCAGCAATGCCTCCAAAAATAGGGTCAAGTAATGTTTGCAGTATCCAACAGGTATTTATCAATTACTATAGCCATTGCTATGCGTAATGATTCCGTTATCCAGTTTCACAATTAACTTCTTCCCTAAAGCAATCACGATTTACAATGTAGCTATAAATTTTCAGATTCTTGCAACTGATCCTACATTGCTACTTATTGGAAAACTTCCTGATAGCCACTCTTAAATAAAATGTCAGTTCGTTATTGGTAATCATCGTCGTGCTTCCATTTTTATCACCTGAATTCTACCCTTAAAATTAATTAACGTCGTATATGATGCGCGTCACCGGCAATTAATGTTAGAAAGTTACTCGCCACCTTGAAATTGTCTTGTAAGAGATACCCTCTACACATAAATAGTTGCTTTCCAGTAATTATCTTTTATACGACACGATAAGAACATCCCTACAAAGTATCACGATATCAAGTTTCTTAACGCACGTGCGGTCAGAGGGCATGTCCGAAGGGAATTTTCAATTAAAAGAAACAATGCGTTTGACAGTCGCTTTTGGAATTCGGATTTTAAAATGTGTGCTACGTATGTTACTTGTCTATAAACAATACGTATAGCGAACTTGTTTTTTATTAAAGAAAAGAAATGATTGATTGCGCATTCGCTGATTTGGACTCGAACTGAGGGAGAAAGTACATTGGGCAAGATGAACGTCCCAGGGGGTGGGTCTATTTTTGACGCTATTGAAACCTTTTGCTTACATTTCTAATGTACCTATTCCCTTTAATTTAAGATTAGTTGCTGGTTTGATCTTGAACTCAATCTCTCAGATCGGCGATTCTGTAGGAAATCTCCCGAACTCCTGAAATATCGCATTTTATTTAAAAGAAAAATTTTTCTTTTTTTGCAGGAAAAATTCGAATTCTTTATATACAAAAACCTGTTGCAAATGTTATTGTAAAATTATGTGTTATAGGATAAAGAACGTCTCGAAGTATTTGAAAAGTTTATCTCATGTTTTTCTCGGGTCATAGATGTGAGTTGCGCTTATCGCTAAAGTTAATTAATTTTGTAAACAGTTGTTTGTCGCAGGTGCGCGTCTAGAAAAGAGAATTTTGTTTGTTTTACCTAAAGAATTAGGAAGTGGAACAGAAGACAAGATAGGGAAATGTTAAGAAGAAGAGAAAGCCCTAGGTCACTAGTTATCAACTAATCAGTGCCGTATCGCGTTTTTGGATTGAACCTTAACTTCACAATTTTTGAGAAATTTCACTATTTTCGAGATATACTTGATGTGAGTTATGTTGGATCATTCCACACTGACCCCGTAGGATTTCTATATACGCAACCGTGATGGCTTAATTTTCCATCTAATTGTGGTCAAGCCTGTTGGGGGCCCAGAAGAGGAACAATAAATAAATAAATACGAATACAAGGCAAAATTAAACACGTATCGACCGTAAATATAATTCATAGAGAGAAGCGAGTTCGGTTCAATTAATTTATTATTTTAATAAATATAAATTGTAATTACGCAAGAATGCTCTTTGATAATGCAGCTGATCGCACATGATGCATGTAAATGTACCTATTAGAATATTATTTACAGTAGGACAACGCATACATAATATTAAATACCGTGACTAATTGCTTTAGACGGAGCTTAAATACAGTTGTGTTTAAACGCAAATTGGATTATATTGGTTAATACTACTGCACGCTGCAAATTAATTGCTAGAAATAGACACATGGAAATTTCAATTAAAATTGTTTGAATATTCAGAACATGTGCCATTTTCCCTAATTATCGAGTAACAATATTGCAGACGTAAATTTACAATTCTTTTAAATGAAAAGTATTGGGCGTAATTTTTGCCCTTCTGACCTCAAATACTTTCCACAAATCAATATGTGTTATTCACATTGGGTTTGAAGGGGTAGGTATATGCACTCGGGACTCTCAAATGCCAATTCACCAGGCGCGGAAATATTGTACCAATTATTAGTACATAGTGATACAAGGGGAAGTTATATTTACCTTGGTCTTGAGTAAATTGATCAATTAAATCGAACTTAACCGATGTTATATCGTTCACTTAAGGGATGCGCAACGTTTTATTATCTACCGCTATGTATCTGAAGGGAAATTACGTATATTATTAGCTCTTTGTAAATGACAGGATTTAGATTATTGTATTTGGGGCTATTACGAAGATGTTTAGCCAAATTAATTTATCTGGCGAATTAATTTACAATAGAATTTGAGGGGTTGTGTCACATGTTTGGTGTACTAGACAGTTTAAAGGTAGGCGCCAATTAAGGCAAATAAAAATTTAGTTGGCTTGTGTAATACCATAATAAATAAAGTGTTTTTTTGAGGTGCGGCTTTAAATATAGATTCTATTTTATTAATTGAGGAACTTTTTAAGTAGTTATATCTCACTTCAAAGCTAAGTACTTGATTCGATTTGCTTTTACTAATGGAAGGATAAAAGAGTTCGTAATGTAATTTTGCACATAAAACTTTAATGGTTAGGTAATTGTGGAGTTGTTTTAAGTGAAGCTCTTTAACTCGTATGTTCACCAGAAAATTGCGTTTCAGAGTAATAAAATTTTTCCGCAATGAAATTTTTCTTGAACGTGGTTTTCATAAAAATATGAAATTCAACCGTGAAGCTTGGTTCACGCAGACTGAAATTGCATTTAGAAAAACTGAAAGACGCTTTTAGCTTACAGCTTGAGACACCGCATTAGATCTGGAAGATTAGTTTCATTCTATTGTTAGCACGTAAGCCTTGGATTTGAAAATTGCGGTTTATAACACGAAGTTTCCGGTGAACCGAAGTCTGCATAATGAAGTACTGTACCATAATCTGCAGTTAACTCGCTGCCAATCACCGTCGAGTGGTCGTCTCGTCCACTGCCATACACCAAGCGTTTATCAAGGAGTCGTCAAAAATAAACATATTACCCTTGAAACTCGTAAAGATCGTAATGGCCTTTTGAGCTCAGAAGGGCGCTATTCTGCCTTATCTGTAATAGATAACCATACCAGCAAACAAGAGGAATACTGAATCGCCGGCACATAAATATTGCGGTAGCAATGTCTAACGTCTGACACTAATCAGGTAACGCGAATACTAAAACTGTAATTAACACTCAATAAGAACCAATAATTGAATTTACCTTCACCAAACAAAAGCAAAAAAAAAAACATAAACCGCTTTAAACTTCTCACACTTAAGTTACCTTGCGTCTGCACAAAATTGTAATAATAATGACAAACTACGTCTTCAACTAATCAAATCGGGCGGAGAG